AATGGTCAGTAAAATGAGACATGGCTTTTTTCTGTATGTTTATAATCTGGTATAAGAAATAAAACCTCTACACAGGTAAGCACAGTGAAAGGTGGAAAGAAAGGAGGTCTGGGCAGCTGCCTACCACCCAGTATGGGCTGAACTACTCTGCTACCATCTTGTTGTCTGAACATTGTGGAGGAAGTTCTGCTCTTCTCACAGGGAACCTCCTACCACTCTGGTCTTCTCTTCCTCCTCCTCCAGAGGGGATAACTCAGCAGCCACTTGGTCTAGAGTTTATTACCCAGTCAATCAATCAATCTGAGAATACCTCCCTCTATTGTCCCAGCTTACCATTCCATGCACGTTTCCTTTGTGCATTTATGTATTACTATTTTTGAGACAGTCTCACTCTTTTGCCTAGGCTGGAGTGCAGTGGTATGATCTTGGCTCACTGCAACCTCCACCTCCACATTCAAGTGATTCTTGTGCCTTAGTCTCCGAAGTAGCTGGGACTATAGGCACATGCCACCATGCCCAGCTAGTTTTTATATTTTTTTGGTAGAGACAGGGTTTCCTCATGTTGGTCAGGCTGGTCTCAAACTCCTGGCCACAAGTGATCTGCCTTCCTCGACCTCCCAAAGTGCCGAGATTGCTGTTGTGAGCCAGTGTACCCAGTGGCATTTAGGTATTTAATAAATACTATTGTTACCTAGTACTATTAGCTAACTTTTATTTAGTTCCCACCAGGTACCAGGCACTTGAAGGCTTTATCTGTATTAATTCATTTAATTCTGTGCCAAAGGAAGAGCTGTCTCTCAGAATGTAATAGTATGTGAAGCTGAAGAATTGTTTGTTAATCAAGGGACAGTAATAGATCTCTCTTGAACAAAGCAAAAGTTGAGCCTCTACAGAATTTTGGAAGCTATGCAGGGGAGGACTTGGTAAAAAATGCAGAAGTTACAGTCTTTAGGAATTGACTGGCTTTCTAATTTGGAAGTGTGGTGTTTGGAGTGAGCCTGTGGCCCATGGACTGACTTTTGGAAGTCACATGACTACCAAAGAAAATAAGCACAGAAAGAGTGGCTGCAGTAACAAGAATAGAGAGGAGAGGAAAGGGTCTTTCAGCCGCGATATCCTTTACTAATGCAGAGAACAGAAACCCACGTTTGCCTTACTGACTGTTCACGGGGTTCTCTCAGCTTCCACTGTCTCTTCTCTTTCCCATTAACTGTGTTCTATGTCGATTGCTTCCCCAGCCAAAGGCTTTTCCTGCTTAGTCAGGTCCAGTCTTCTTGCTGTGCTATCAGTTCAGAAAGGCATACAGACGACCTGCAATGGCATCTCAGAGGAGGAAGACATTATCACTGGTTGGTTGAAGGAACCAGGAAGAACTTCATTTAATAATCAAAAAATGTTCATCGAACTCCTACGAACTGCCAGGCGTTTTCTGGGTGCTGTGGAAATAACAGCGAAACCAACAGACACAAACTCATGCTCTCACAGAGCTTAACCTTTATTGGAGAGACATATTAAAAAATATATATATTAATTTACATGGACATTGGATGTCCCGTGGTAGTCACTGCTCTGGAGTCAAAGCAGAGGAATTAGTGCAGTCGTGGTTGCAGCGTTGCATGTGGTGGTCAAGGAAGGCCTCCCTGAGAAGCTGATGTTTAAGAATCAGAATGGTGAAAAGACCACAGATGATAGAGCTGTGTGAGCTTAGAAGACAGTAACGAGATGAGGTCTGAGGTCCATGAGATAGTAGGGAAATGGGCCTTGGAGGTTATTAGAACATCAGCTTTTAGTCTAATGAGATGAGTCATTGAGTGATTTAAGCAGAGGAGTCATGTAATCAGACTTGTTTTTTCAAGGGAACATAGGAGCTACTGTGTCGAAATAGACCTCAGAGAACGAGGGACAAGGGTGGAGGAAAGTGGTTACTGCTGCAGTAACTCTAGCATTTGGTGGTGGTTTGAACTAAGGTGGTAAAAGTGGGTTGATAAAAAGCAGTCATATTCTAGATATATTCTTCATGGAAGATTCTTCAAATTGAAGGACTTCATTAACAGCCACTATAAACTCCACCAGTTATGAAAATTCTGAATATGCATTCTCGGATAGACCACACCTTGACTTATTACAGAATCTCCAGAGAGCCTTTTCTGACCTGGGAAAATGCTATGGGAGAAAGAGGCATATTATCACATCTGGCCACAGAAATAAAATGTACCTATCAAAGATGACGCATAATCTAGACCCAATTCTGTATAGATTTTTATGGTATTTTCTCCTAGATAATTGTGTGAATTATGGGGATTTTTTTAATTCATTGGTGTGAAGACAGTGATAATTTAAATTTCACTGCTATTCTGGTTATGAGTGGGTGTTGACATTTTTTATTTTATCGTGTGTGTGTGTGCGCGTGTGCATCTCTGTGTGACACACTCACAGAAGGGGGTGAGGGAGAGAGAAAAACAGACTGAGTAGGGTATAGAGCTGCTGCTATTCCCTGGGCAATAAAAGCTTGAAATCCTACTAATGAGGTTAAAAAAACCTTAACTTTTTCTGTGTGCTTAATAATAGCACTGCCTACTCACATAACTAGAATTCCTGGAATAATTGCCCTCTTTCTTACTCTATTTTTAAGATCTGAAAAATTTGGGAGGAGAGGAAAGTGCCTTCAGGTGCAGAGCACATTTCCATCTAAAAGCTCAATTCTAGGGCTGCAGCATTTGGCCCTAAACCATGTTAAATGTTTCCTTTCATGTGAAAGTGGAGGATGGAACTAGCATTCATCAGGGGAGCTCCGAATGGCTTCTCTTTCAGTGAGAGGACAAGAGATTGATCCTCTGCTGCAGATTCCCCCTTTCCCAAATTGGGGGATCTTCCTGTGACATTTATCTGGTGCTTTCCTAGACACCATTCGTGTCTGCCAGTAACAGAAGTGTTTGTGAAGCCATAGAATTTTAGCAGGATATTTAACTTTGAGGAGGAGATGGCATCTAAGGTATGATAAATGTTAGTATTTTAGAGCCCTCAGTAAGAGTAGAAATGTTTGAAATACATATATTTAGAAGATTTTTTTTTGTAGACTATCAGACTATTTAAGATGGATTCAAAATAGAAAGTACTGTGTGAGGGGCAGTGCTGGAAAGTACTTTAGAAATTGTTTCTGTAACTTTCAACAATTCAGTGAACATACGTAAGGAGGAGAAACATACCGATTAGAAAGAGAATGGGATTAAATCAAAGCTTGTGCTAGAAATTGGTTGAATATCTGGATTGAGTTGCCAGAATTATTTCTGAGGAGGGCTATTTTGGGTAGGCAGTAACGTTTCTCCTCAGATATAGATTTTCACATTGACTTGTAACATTTAAGCAATGGTCGGCATGTACAGTCTTGAACGTGCTCAGTCCCATTCTTTGGGCTGTGCTTAAACTACAAGGTTGAAAAGTTTAAAAGCATTTAATATGGGTTTACACAAACCATGTGTGCCGCTTTCTGTCCTCTATCACTCTCTGTGCAGAAAATGGCTGAAAAATTAATTAGGGGCTCTCAGGGACAAAGCAGTATCCGTAATAGAGAGAAACATTTAAACATAGACTTAAATCATGAAATTAAGATTAGTGACATGTTTATATTGCTGCTTTTTAGGAATGGTTTGTTAAAAGGAAAAATATGGTATCCCTAACAAATTATGAGAGAGAGAGAGAGAGAAAGAGAGAGTGTGTATGTATGTGTCTGTGTGCGTGAAACAGACGTGGGCTTCTGTTTACGATGATCTTTTTGTACATGCATTTGAAAGGTGACTGCAAGAATGAGTAAAATGGGTTGCATTGACATTTCCTGTATGTAAATGGGTTGCATTGACATTTCCTGTATGTAAATGGATTGCATTTACATTTACACACTCCCTGATGCTAAACAAGATGCTGCGAGCCTGGAAAATCGAACTGTGTAAACTTTGTGATCTAGTTCATAGAGGAATTGGCCAACAGCCACATACACCTAAAGGAAGAGGAAACATACATTTGGAGAAACATTCATGTGTGCCAGTTCAAGAAGCAAGCAGCTAGCTCTCTGCCTTTGAAGATTTCAGTATTCACTTTGTTGAAGGTGACCAGGTGATCCCTCTTAGATACTTTGATAACTCAGATACTTCAAATACATGATGGATCTTTATAAAAATCAATTTGTTATTTCAATCTGGAAATGTGTTATTTCTTCCTTGAGAAAAAACTTTGGGTAAGGAGAGGTGCTATTTTATCTCTGCCCAAAGCTTCATCCTAGGGCTTGGAGATGCTAAGGAATTTGTACAAGGAAATAAAGCTAAAAGCTTGCTACCTTAATTATAGGATTTGTCTACTCAATGTACCAGATTCTGAAGGTTAAAACAACTATTTATATTTTAAGGGGATACGTACAGCATAGAGGTGTTAGTTGTAGATAAAATCTGAAGGGCTTTTTCCTCATCCTTTTCTCCAAAGGCCTAACTCCTCTTCCTCAATCTCAAATTCTTCTGTGGTAGAGTGATGACTGTCTCAGAGGAAAGGATTAGATGGAAATCATTTAATTATTCTTGCATGTGTCGGAATGCCAATGAGTATTTGCTCTCTTAGGATAGTTGCTTTCTCTAATTACGGAAAATTTTTCAACTTCAAACACCATCTATCATGGCAATTGGTGTATGTGAATGGTACCTTTCCTCATCAGATCTGCAATTATACTGAATGAGGGGTCATATACTCCATGACTAACTCAGCCCAGTACAGAGGCACTTATATAATAAGGTAGATTTACTTAATCCATAGATTATGAGCTTTCTTTCTAAAATTTTCCTTAATTCTATCATACCATTGTGTGCCATAAGAAACTGTCAGTTCAACACCTCAAATGATGCCTTCACGTATTAAAAGATGTACCATTTGGAGCTGGGATAGAGATGTATTTTGTCCCCTGTGCTTTGTTATGTGATGTAATTAGATTATATCTCAAACTGTTTGTGTGCTTCCAGGAGATACTGATCAACAAGAGATGATTCCTAGTAAGAAGAGTGCTGTTCTTGTGGATGGGGTTGTGCTGAATGGCCCTACGACAGATGCAAAAGCAGGGGAAAAATTTGTTGAAGAGGCCTGTAGGCTAATAATGGAAGAGGTGGTTTTGAAGGCTACAGATGTCAATGAGAAGGTAAAAATTAAAACCCATAAGAAACTGCAGAAATGGGAAAGATAGATTTCCCCAAATCAGTATGGCTGAATATGAGGGGAATGGGAAGGTCAAGTTTTAATTTCCTCTATACCTTTTCTCATAAGGATATCCAGATACAAAGTGTAGACCCTCCAGGCGATGTCCGCTTTCCTTGAAGGGTTGACTCCTTCCTCTTCTAGTCATCATTCGTGGGAAGATTGGCTGAGACTCTGGAGCTTAATCACATAAGGCTATGAAGCACAGGGATGAAACTCCCTGCCCTAGGAAGTAACATAGCTAAGTCACCTGCTAATCTGACTTGTGCACTCTCTAATGCCCTTTGCTTCCCATTTTCTAGTCCACCTCCATGTTGCTCATGAAAAGCAGAAGATAGAAAAGGATGTGACAACATTTAAAATTTATCTTGAGGTTCTTATCAGGAGCTTGTCTGAATTTAGCCTAGAAATATCAGGTGGTTAAGTCCGACTCCTTTCCTGGTACCAGCTACTGGTTGTAGATTTTAAATTCAGGCTCAAATTCAATTCAAATTGATATAAGAACTGCTGCCTATGGCATCTACTGTTAAGAGTACTTAGTATTCTCTAGGGACTAACTTCTTATGTATTTAATCCTTTCAAAAACACTAAAAGACAGATACTATTTATTACCACCCTTTAAGAGTTGGGAAAGAAAGTCAGGCGCAAAGAGGTCAAATATCCTGCCCAAGATTACACACAAGCAAGCATCAGAGCTGGGACTCAAATCCAGGCAGTCTCACTTCACAAGCTGCACTCTTAACTCCTCCATATGCCTCTTAAAAATTACTGGATTACCCTTTATCACATTGTTTTCATGTTGGAGTTTGATTATCAACAAATGGATGTAAGGAAGAGATTTTTACTCTAGTTATATTACAAATAAATCTCTTAAAAAATATGAGATGATTTATTCTGCATTTTTGATCACATGCTTGTGGGAAAACGAATAGGAAAATAGATTGACGCATGAACTTGGAATAGTTATGTTCAGGGCAGAATCCTGATGGTGTTTCTTGTTTATCCGGAGAGTATATTTATAATTACATAATTTCTGGTCTTCTCTGTACTTGAGATACTTTGGACCTGCTTTACTTTGCAGTACACTGCTCCTCTGGCAGGTTATTTTCTTATTGGCCTTTATTCAGTCATTAAATATTAACTGAGTATTAGCTATGAGTAAGGCTTTATATTCAGCCCTAGAGAATATAAAGAAAAATAAGGTAAAGGCCCAGCTCTGAACAGAATTTATAATCTAATTGGAAGGATATGTTTTCATTAGAAAAGACAGCAGGGTTCCCAGTGAGGATGTTATAAGTGCTTTGAGACTGGAGCAGATTTTTGGGATTTCAAACAGGAGCAGGTAGGTACTTTGAGCTCAGATGTGGAAGGTAAAAGGCAAGTGAGACTTTTGAGGGGTGGTGGCAGGGGAAGAGGAAGGTTGGGGTTAGGGTACTCATTTCTGTGGGAAGAAAGGAGGAAGGTCAATAATGGAAAGAGCATTGCACAAGGACAAGATGTATTTAACACAGCAAGGGGACTTTTTAGCCTCGAAAGAAGGGCTCACATAGAGGACTAATAAAAAGAAATGAGAAGGGGAAGATCTTAAGATCATAAGTTGTCAATTAAGGAACCACAAAATCAATCACATTGTTGTAGATGTACAGGCTACCCACGGTAAGGTGGATTGAAAGCTATGCTGGAGCTGGGGGAAGGGGGTGAAGTTTTGATACCACTAACTTAGCCTGCCTTGTCTGAGATTCAACAAAGCACCATTAAAAGGTAGCCTGCAAATAAATATCCAAGCTTGGTGTGATGATCATTGATAGTTTCTTTAGTAGAAAATTCTTCATCAGCCAGTTCTCAAACATTCAGTAAAATTTACTCCTTTTGGGTAAATTCTGTGAGTTTTGAGAAGTCATACAACTATCACTATGATATGATGGAACTGTTCTATATCTTCATTAAAATAGCTGCATGACTATAACTATTCTGTGCCCCTCTTTAATCAACCCCCCCTTTCCTCTAAGCCCCTGGAAATCACTGATCTTCTTTCCCTATGATTTTTGCCTTTTCTAGAATGTCATGTTGATGGAATCACATAGTCTTTGAGTCTTGCTGTTTACCCTCAACAAAATGCATGAGATTCATCCATGTTGAATGCACCAGTAGTCATTCCTTTTGACTGTCTCAAGCATTTCTAATTGACCTCTGCCTGTCATGGTTACAGCATCAGAGTTTAATTTCATACTACTTGCAAAATTTGATATTTCCTTCTAGTCTTTTCACTCCCTGGCTACTTCCCTCTCTCTCCTCCCCTCCATAGCCAAAATTTTTTTAGAGATTATCTATACTCCCTCTCTCCTATTTCTTCACCTCCTACATCCTCACTTCAAAGCAATCTGGCCTCCGCCCCCACCTCTCTAAGTCAAGCTGCTCTTGCCAAGAACACCTCCTTGTTGATAAATCCCATGAGCGCTTCAGTCTATCTAATTTGGCTTCTTAGCAGTATTTGACAGTGGTGAGCCCCTAGCTCCTTCCTAAAGCATTGGTTTTTCTTGGTGATGATAGCACTAAACTCTTAGAATTCTCCCTCTGCGAAGTCCTTCACAGTACAGGCAGGCTCCTCTTCCTTTGCCCATTTGTAAGTGTTGGTGATGCCCAGAACGATTCTGCACCTCTCTTCTTTGCTGTAGTTTGAGTCACATCATCTACTGTTGTATTATCATAGTATATCCCTGGAGCTCCATCCCCCATCTTTTCCAAGAGCCTCAGATCAACTGCTATACAACTTCTGGATGTTCTGAAGGTGCCTTGCTCTAAACTTGCTCATAAACGCATCATCCCCACACCACCCCCAACCAGATCCTTCTCCTGTTATCCCCATTGCTGTCCCAGCTGAAATCCTAGGGATGATCCCGGGCTCATTCCTCTCACCCTCACAATCTAACTGATTCTCAACTTCTAGTGATTCTGCATTTTAAATATCTCCAAAAACTAGATACTTAATTCACACAGCATTGACCCTCATCCAGATCCTTACCTTCTCTTGCCTGGTTTATTAAAGTTACCTTTATATCCAATTTTATTTGGAATCTCCACATAGCTAGAGCAATTGCCTCAAACACAAATATGATCTTTTTATTCCCCTGTTCTAAACATTTAAATGGCTTCCTTAGAGCCAAATTCAAACTTTAACATGTCACATAAATCCCGTTATGACCTGAGCCTTTTTTTTTATCTCTTTTATTCATTTAGTCAACCCATTGTTCTTAAGCACTATTATGTGTAGACTCTGTAGTATTCACTTGGGATCAGTGAGCAAAAAGACTGACATCTGCTTGTATGGAGATTATGTAGAATATAATAAATAGCAGTATATTACAGGGTGGTAAGTGCTTTGGAAAAAGGAATACTAGGAAAGGTTAAGGGGGATTTATAGAGGTAATGGGTAGATTTCAGTTTTAGGTAAGGAATTCAGGATTGCCGGCATTGAGAAGGTGACTTCTTAGCAAAGCTCTGAAATAAGTGAGGGTCTAGTTATAAGATATTTTAAAAAGCATTCTGGCAGAGGGCACAGAGTGCCGAGACGCCAGTGTGAAAACATCGCTCCTGTAGTTAAGGAACGGCAAGGCCAGGGAGGTAGGAGCAGAGTCAGCCAGAAGGGAAGTAGTCCCAGATGAGACTAGAGAAAAAAATGAAACCAGGAGAAGCAGATCATAAAGCATCATTTTAAGTCTTTGTAAGGACTTCAACTTTTACTTGGAAAGAAGTAGGGAGCCATGGCATGTATTTGAATGGAGGAATGGGCGTGGCTTGTTTAGGAGCCTCATTCTGGCTGCTAGGTTGATAGCAGACAGCATAGGACAGGGTACACGCAGAGAGAAAACTACTTCACTATTCCGATTTATTACCGCTCCGTTTCTCAAAAATCCATCTTCTAGCCATACCAAACTTACGTGACTTTTCAGACGTACTATAGGATACGAACTTTTGAGTTTATTCTTGATTTTAGTTTTGATCTGTTACTTCTGTCACTTTCGTCTAGAACCTCCCTTGTATGACCACACCCCTCAGCTTTGCATGATTCACTCTACTCTTATTCTGTGTAACAACTTAGATATCAGTATCTCTAGGAAATCTGCCTTAACCTTGCGAATCTAGGATGGTGCCCCTCATCTGTCCCATCAACATCCACATTACTGTCAGTTCTTTTAGTCTGAACTATAGTTGCACGTTTACATCTCCCAGAGCCTGGAAACTTTGTAGAGTCCATGTTTCTAACATCCTCTCAACACCTGTCTGTGGTGGGTACTCACTTTGTGTCACGGTTGAATCTCCAGGTGTGTGAATGGAGGCCTCCTGAACAACTGAAACAGCTTCTTGATTTGGAGATGAGGGACTCGGGCGAGCCACCACACAGACTATTGGAACTCTGCCGGGATGTCATACGCTATAGCGTCAAAACTAGTAAGAACTTTGTTTCCTTGATCGGTTCCTCTGACAAGTCACGTTTGTAAAGCATTTATTTACCTCTCAAAGCTAAGCATAGCAATGTTCACGGAATAAGAAATCTGGATTAAAAAAATTAGTGGTTCCGATGTTTTTGCAATGGTCCCTTTAATCCCTAATCCAGATCCATTGCCAAGGCCGAAGAGAAGTTGATAGGACAACTGCTGGTGTTAGTGTTTGTATGTAAATATCCTCTTCTCCTTGCCAACCCTCGTACTATTTGTAATCAAGAGCATGTATTACCACTGCCACTTATTTCTTATGTTAGACCAAACTGGCAAATGGAATTTTGATTACATAAATTTGGTAAGGGATTTTAAATCTCGATGGCCCAGAGTATGCAAAAAGTAATTCAAAAGACACCTTTAATATGAACAGAAATAGATTAATTTGGAAGACACGGATTAACTCTAGGATATTGGTAATTGCCGAACTATTTGATCAAATCTGGCAGAATCAAAAAATAAAAACCTTTAGGTGGATAAGGCAAATGAGTACATTCTTTTTTGCTGAAATTATTATTACAGTGCTGTCCTAACTACTGAGATCTTTGTACATGCAGTGATGGGATGTCAATGTTACACTGAGGCCCCATTCCAGCTTACCTGTTAATATCCTGTTCACCCAGTGAACAAGTTTCAAAAATGGGAGAATAACCTTCCAAAACATTTCTCAGTATAATGTAAAGGTAATCTAGTGCTTAAGACCATACAGGCATTACTTTGTAAATTCCAGCACTGGACTGAATTTAGTGGAAAGAACATAATAAAATTCTGGCTAAAAATAATTGGATTATATTCTCTTGGGAAAGTCTGGTGTATGTATCAAAAACCCAGTTAGCATTTCAAAAGCAGAGATATGTATCTTATTACTACAGTGCCTGTCAGAAGTGTAGAATGACATTTAATGCAGATTTTTCAGTTTACTGGATATTTTCCATGTTACCATGGAAATCATAAATTAACACAGAACTAAAGAAAAAAGTCTTATTAAAATTACTTGTAGCCATGCCTTTTATTTTTGCCAGATCAGAGGAAGTTTTTATGTTTTAGCTGAAAAGATTGAGTTTTTTGTTTTCTATTGAACCCTTAAAGACCAAAAAAAATCCTAAAATAAACTAAAACCAGATGCTGTAATTTGTAATGAGAGGTCACCAGATAAAATATTTCTACATTTGAGTATTCGGAAATCAGACTCCTGCCTGTTTGTTCTGTCATGCTGAGCTTCCTGTGATTGAGACTGTCAAGCCAGTTAGCTGAGTGTATGGTGTGATTATTCACATGGTGTAAAGCCAATAACCTTTATAAGAACTTTTATATGAGGGGAAACAATTTAAAATTGGGATGAGGCGTTGTGTGTTAAAGGCGATCGCCTTGGAAGCAAATTGAATCATAAGTGTACGTAAGCGCTTGATGAGTCACATCTTACCCCATTTACATACTGCCAGTCGCATGGGTCTAATCTGAAAAATGAGAATGCTGCTCATTGCCATAGCCTGGGGTGAACTCTGTTGTGAGCAAAATGTATATGAAGTGAGAGAAGTTAATATTGATATTTTCAGAAAAAAGGCAGTACCCTGTGATCCTTGGGAAAACTGTGTTCAAATAATACTTAAGGGTCTGGTTTGGGTCTAGGTTGTGAAAAAGAGGAGCAGGTAAATCAAAGCTCTTGAGAGACAACTCAGAATTTACTTAGAAACAATGATCAGCAGCAAGGGCTCTGAGGTGGGTCTTCAACATGATTTTCCTTGTATATAATGCTGTTTTGAATACTTTTTAGAATGAGGTAATTTATAATCAATAAAGTACACAAACCTTAAGTGCTCAGTATGAATTTGTATACAGCTATGCAAGGGAGCCATCACCTGGATCTAGATATAGACCAATTCTAGGCCTCCAGAGGCTCTCGGAAGCTCCTTCCCAATCCGTAATTCTTTCAGCAAAGTACCTAGAATTCTAACCTCTCTCACCTTAGACATCTTAGTTGATTTTGAATGTCATGTAAATGGAATTACATTATATATAGTCTTTGTGTCTGTCTGCTTCATTTTCTGAAAGATTCATGTTAATGCTCTATCAGGTTTTTTTATTGCTGCATAGATGAATACTCCATTTTAAACTTACAGACCACCCAAGATTCTTCAACCAGTTGTATGCTGGACTTGATTATTACTCCTTGGTGGCCCGATTTATGACAGAAGCATTGAATCCAAGTGTGTAAGTGCCATGATCCAGAAATTTTACACCAAATATGGATTAGAGACTAAGTAGATGAAATTTTGTTTTAAAAATTTCTATTTAACGGTTTCTTTCTCAGAGTGTCATTGTAAATAATGGAACAGTTTTATAATGCTTATTAATATTCAAATAGCTATTTGATTTAAATAGTGGTACCATCAGATGGAAAAGGCAGGTATCATCTTCATTTAACAGATAAAAAATTGCTTAATCAAGTTTCTTATTTGTACCTGCATGAAAGCCCTTTTCTGTGCTAAGTGATAGACATTGAATATAAATAAACCTCGACTCTGTCCTCATGGAGCACAGTATCTGGTGAAAAACAATGCTAATCAAAGTGATCCACAAAAATTAATGTAAAATCTAAACTCTCATCTGAAGGAAAAGTACACAGTGTATTAATATGAATGGGGCAATTTTTCCTAGTTGCGAACTCAGGAAAGTGCACGCTGTAAAGGTTACAGTTGGAGAATAAGCGTTATTTGGAAAAAAGGTGAGGGATGAGTTGTAAATAGATGGAATGACGTGTATAAAGGCCTTGTGGCAGGACACAGTATGACATGCTCTATGACCTGAAAGGTCAGTGTGGGTACAGCTGAGAGTCATACAGGGACTGTAGTGGAAAATATGAGAGAGAGAGAGAGAGAAATAAAGAGGCAGACATATAGGGCCCAGTTGACCATGTTTATGAGTCATTCTAAATGTAACAAAAAGCCATTGAAGGTTTCTAAATCACTAGATGCCATTTGCTTATTGAAAAAAATCTCTGAAAATATGAAGGGTAGGTTGGAGGGCACCCATTAGGAAGGCATTTCTTTAGTCAGGTGAGGAGGAAAGTAGCTTGGACCTGGAGGGAAGAGGTAGGAATAGAGCGGCAAAGAATGTGTTCGAAAAATAAAACAAAGGACTGGATACACATCTTGAAAAAGATAAGGGGGAGGTGGTTCCTGAGGCAACGTCTGGGTTTCTGGCTTTCATAGCTGCGTTCAGTCATTTCATTCATAGAAATAAGCACTGGGAGAGAGCGCTGGTTTTCAAGCGTGTGGTGAAGGAGGCAAGAGCAGTTCCAGTGTCAGTTGTGGGCATTTGAGTTTGCGGTGACTTTAAAACATCCAAGAATACATATGAACTAAGCTGAGAAATACATGGGCCTGGAATTCTGATGTCTATATGAAAGGTATAAATTTAAGAGTTATCGGTAACATGATGGTAATTGAAATGGTGGACGTGGATGAGATTCCCTATGTCAGTGATTCACCACCCTGACTACTCATGAGAATCACTTGAGAATTTTAGAAACATGTATTGATACCTGGGTGCCAACCCACGCCAATTAAATCTGAATTTCTGTAGGTGTGTCCCATGCATTGATATATTTACAAGGTTCAACAAGTGATTTTAATGGGCAGGCAAGATAAAAAAAACCACGGCCTAGGTCACAGAGTATAGAGTGGGGATAGAGGGCTCAAGACAGGGCCTTGAGGACATCTACCACTTAATGGTTAGGAGGAGCTGGGTTAGCTTACAGTGGCAAGAATAGAAGGAAAAAAAACAAAAGTATAACCGTGGCAGCCACAAGGAGAGTGCTTGGTGTCACATGTTATTGAATATTTAATTAAGAGCCTAAATAGCATCCACTGGATTAGCTACATGGATGTCACTGGAAACTTTAGGGATGTTTTGATGGAGTGATGAGAGCAGATTCCAGGTTACAAGGAGTTACAGTGAGTGTAAGTCAGAAGAGACAGTAAAATTACATATTTTTCTATCTTTTTTTGTATACCCCAGGTTTTTTTTTTTTTTTTTTTAACTCTTCACAGAAGGTCAAAAATCTCTAAATATTTCAGATTGAAGAAGTATTAAATTGTGCTAAGCTAAACCGTCCACTCAAAATATGCCAACCCATGAGTGTGCTCTATCTTATCTTCCCCTCCACCTCCAGGCCGATTCCTAGGTTCAGTTGAGCCAGTTTTCAAAGATAGGCTTAATACATTTTTTGTTATGAACAAGTAACAATTATATATATATTTGTAGGTTCATATAAACATTTTCATACTTTTGGTGTATGTACACTGGTTTCATAGCATGGTTAAAAAACAATCAATCTTTTTAAGATGGCATAATATCTGTAGAGTTGACACGTAGATAGGTGATACATAAACTTATGCCTTAATCCCATTTTTCCCTACCAGATGTTAAAATAATTGCATTAAATTCTGTCACGATACATCTAAATGTGTCTGCTTAACTTTATTTAGAGCACACATTTGTTTAGATACAATTTCACGTAATCTCTTGAGAAGGAGATCATAGGTATGTAGTCAACCTCAAGTTGTCTGGAAAGAGAAGATAAACATTACCAAACAAGGTACGGTGACTGTTGCAACACTGATTCCCAGGAAAGCTGCTCTAGACGGTGTTTAGCGAGTGGGACATTGATTAGGAGTACCCTTGGCATCCACATGGGCGACTGGGGAAGGAGGAGGAGGAGGATGCAGAGATAGGAGTCAAATTGCCATGCAGGTTCCATGACAATCTTGGCTAATGCTTGGAGATCTCTGAAACTACCATGGCCCCTCAATGATCTGAAGTTGAGCCCAGAGAGCCAGACCTCTCCAGCAGTCAGCTGTAGACCACCACAAGGAGGAGTGTGACCTCAGAGGAGTTGGCTCCCTGCAGTTGAGGCTATCTCTAAAGGGGCTAAAACAGCAATGACTGATAACAGCGTTCCAGCCCAGAGCAACACATCCTGCATCAACAGGGGATTTGGTGGTGCTTTGTAGTAAAATTATCCCATAAGATATCTCACAGAACACTCCTCATTAATACAGACACAGTGTAGCAGAGGAAACCCTGGTGCAGGCAGAGTAGTCTCCACTTAGAATAACTGGAAGAGATGATAGCATACTCAATGCAGTGATCTGGTAAAACCCGATTACCATGACAATGGATTTTCTTTGATCATCAACAGCATTCAAGGCAGTATTCCAAGCATCCAAAGAGTGAAATGGCCATTGCTCATAGCTAATACATGGAATGCAAATGCATTGCCTTTCTCTCTCCTCACGGAATTGAGGTCTTTCTTGAGAGAGTGCTGCAGCAGCTTACAGATGCCTAAGGCCACCAGCTATTGGTATTTATCTAACTATGACTAGTGCCGTCACTAATGGGGTAATTCTCTTTTCACTGGATAAATTTCCAAAGACTGCCAAAGCTTTGGCAGCCACTCGGTTTAATAGAACTCTGTGTGCATTTCTTGGAACACCAAAGGGATGTTTTGACTCTAGTCGTAGAAGTGAAGTGTTTTTTATATCCATCTAGTTATACGTATGAGGTGTCCCCAGTGTTTCTGTTAGTGGAAGAAGCTGTTCTGAAGAAAATGATTGAATTTATTGGCTGGAAAGAAGGGGATGGAATATTTAACCCAGGTGAGTACGATTAGTTATTGAGATCAACCTTACAAGCATGTAAAAATGTATCCGTATGAGGAACTCCTTGCAGATTCACATGACAAAAAGTTGGATATTAATAATTCTCTTTGGTGAGAATCTAGCTTGTGCCTTTCTCCAGAGTGATACTTTGTATTAAAGCTAAATGACATACATACTTAACTAATGAGATGCCTACAATTTAGGATTTATATCTAACACAAATGAGTTGATTTGCTGCTGGGAGTTTGGAAGGGCTATAAGTCCTCTAAATTTTAAAATCAATTTTACTTAAGACTTCTGAATTACATTTGTTTATCCTAGAGTCCTTTTTGGAGCCAGAAACCGGCAAATATCATTTCAATTTTACTGATTAGGTGACAGACAGAAAAAAATATTAACTACGGAGACCGAGGCACTGGCCCTAAGTCCAGAGCTCACAGATTGAGGCTTTTAGTTTGAGAAAACCTTGAAATGAGAATCAACCAAAATTCATCTTTTGTTCTGAGAATAAAAGTTCTGGAATTAGAGATTAGGGTATGTAATGAAATAGTCAGAGTAATGGGAGCAGGACAGTGTTCATGAGCCTGTCCCAGTGATTTTTCATCAGACTGAAGCACCCATGGCCATTCACGCCTCCTACTGTATTCAGCATTTCGTGAGCTAGAACTTCATGCTATAAATATGCCATTTTTTGTTTTTGCAGGTGGTTCAGTGTCCAATATGTATGCAATTAATTTAGCTAGATACAAATATCATCCCGATATTAAGGAGAAGGGGCTGTTTGGGTTGCCAAGATTAATCCTTTTCACATCTGCAGAGGTAAAAATTATTCTTGGTATTGAATATAGATTTTTCTGACAATGCATGTTTTAAGAGGGCTTGTTTGAGGACTCCTGATGCGAGTTTGTCCTATCCCTGTGTGACTAATATGCTGACGTCCTGGTTCAATTTTGTATAATTACATTTAAAATGTATAGTCTGTAACAACATTTTAAGCAAAGAATATTTAATCCAAAAGTGCTATCTCTGATTTTTTTTTTTTGAGTGTCTTATTTGTTAGTACTTAGATGGACAGTATGGATCTTAGCTATGTCTTCTACTCACATTCCTTGTAAAATGATTGCTTTGATTGGCTAATATAAGGGATGTGTATCTTACCTCACAAGAGAAAAGGAAGATATTCAGCAACAATGAAAACACACACAGATATTGCCAGTTCTCCATCTCTTATTTTACTTTCCGCTAAAGTAGGAGGTCAGACTGTGCGTAAGTGCATAAGTGCATAGGCTTTGAGTTAGGTTCCCTGGATTCCATTTCTGCCTCCATCACTTATTGAGTAACTTTGAGTAGGTTTATTAGGAAACAGGCACAGAGAAAATTTGTAAAAATAAGTTTATCAGCTCTGCAAATCACCCCAAATATACAGTTGACATTCTCTAACTGTATATTATCACTTATAAGCCTCAAGATAGGTGAGCAGATTTGCTGCTCTTGGCTGGGCCCCTTCCACGTCTAGAGTTTGGTGGGGCTTATGGCCCATCTATGAGTGGCTCAGCTGGGATGGTTCCCGTGACGCCTCCCTGCTCCTTGGTCTCTCTCATTCTCCAGCAGGTCAGTCTAGGTGTGCCTTCATGGTAATAGTGCAGGTTTGAAAGGGCGCATGGCAACATAGCAGGCCTCTTGAGTCCCAGCCTCAGAACTGGCCATTGACACCACTGCCTCATGTTCTTGGCGAAGTCCCAGCCATAAGCCCAGATCCAGGATGTTGGAAGAAAGACTCCACCTCATGGGGGGACTTGCTGCAAAGTCACCAGGGCAAAGGTTTGAATACATGGGACAGTGAACAGCTGGAACCATTAGAAAAATCCAGCAGCCACACAGTCATCACTGATTTGTGAGTTTTGGCAAATATTAAACGAGTAGTTGTATGTGAAGTAGCATCTGGGACATAATAGATTGTTTTAAATATTAGGAGAAGAATGAGCTGGCTATAACAAAGTGGGTAGCAGTAGATGGCACAGCTTAAGTGCAGCCTTTATATGGGAGAGATCATTTTTCCTTTCCTATTCTTGTGCGATTCCAGGGGATGTCTCTGTCCATTCTGCGACTGCTTTATCACCCAGGTTCCTGGCAGAACGAGTTTAGCTTCTTACCTTCTGAGATAATACCAGGTATCCAGTTACTACCATGAAGTGGACAAAATCAGAGTTTGTTATTTCCAGCTGGGCTTTTCTGTTTCTATCATTTCTTCTAAGTGCAAAAGTTAGTTTATTATTGCAAAAGGACAAATGATGCACGAATTTCTCCTCAGAAGAGAATCTGATCACGGTTTTCCTCTCGCCTCGTCTTACGTTTGCTCCGGTTCATTCAGCACCAAGCACAAAGTGGGAGTTGAGTGAAGGGAGGCACCTGGGAGGAATCATGTAGCCCAAGATTCTTAACTCAGCCAGTCAAGGCCCTTCTGCATAAGATGTTCTTTCTGTACCAAGAGAAGAACGTTTGGTAATGAGGACAGCTGGGAAAAGAATGCTTTATTATTTGGGAGTATTATGGAATAGTTTCCCTCTTCATGCTTCAGCCCCGGATACTTCAATGTAAGACACCCCAGCAGATTACAAATGCAGAGGCTCTTCTGCATTCAAACTGCTATTTTCCAAGCTTGGGAAAGCTCGTTGTCAGCTCAGGTTTTTTACTTTTGCCTTTTTCATTCTTCATTTGGTTTATAACTTGCTGGAGTTCTTTTCTGGAATAATTGCCATGGAAAGGGGAATGATATTATATTGAAGCTTAGAATAAAGATTATGCCTGGGAAAGATCAGTAAGAGGTGGGGCTGGTGAATTGGGAGTGAAAGGAAATTGAAACCTTATGTAGTTGTGAAATCAGAACTAAGTGGTTTTTAAAAAATTTCCAAATAGAGGCAAAATAGATGCCTTGGCTAACATGCCAGCAGAAGTTGGAGCCAGAAAAAACAAGAACTAGGTGTGAATTCCACGGAAAAATGACATCACTGAGCACACTGTAGCCTTGAATTTATATTTTCACTCCATTGGTTGAGACACTACTTTGCAGCTCATTCCTTTCCCTGCTCCCTCAGGGTCAGGTCATACCATTCACACTATTTTAATTCACATTTTATTGACTGCCTTTACTACTTATTACAACAAATCAATTCATTTCATTAAAAAAATTAAAGAAGGTAGTGTTTACTGAACAGTCTTAAAGTGTTAGTCTTTTTGCTACCCCCGCCCCCCTCCTTTTTTTGGGGATGGAGTCTCACTCTGTCTCCAGGCTGGAGAATAGTGGTGCGATCTCGGCTCACTGCAACCTCCACCTCCCTGATTCAAGGGATTCTCTTTCCTCAGCCTCCTGACTAGCTGAGATTATAGGCACGCACCACCATTCCCAGCTAATTTTTATATTTTTAGTAGAGACAGGGTTTCACCAAGTTGGCCACGATGGTCTCAATCTCCTGACCTCATGATCTGCCTGCCTCGGCCTCCCAAAGTGCTGGGATTACAGCATGAGCCACTGCACCCAGCCGTCTCCCATATTTTCTTTTAGGTGTTTGGTTCATGGCCTAGTACTGTTCTATTAGGTGGTCTCTTCCCGTTTTTGTGCTAACCCAAATTACTCCATCTCTATCTTATACCATCAAATGCAGAATATTATGTACCCACAACTGAAGGTGTTCTTGCATACTTTAGATTTTTTTTTTTTTTTTTTTGAGATGGAGTTTCACTCTTGTTACCCAGGCTGGAGTGCCATGGCGCGATCTTGGCTCACTGCAACCTCCGCCTCCTGGGTTCAGGCAATTCTCCTCTCTCAGCCTCCTGAATAGCTGGGAATACGGGCACGCGCCACCGTGCCCAGCTAATTTTTTGTATTTTTAGTAGAGACGGGGTTTCACCATGTTGACCAGGATGGTCTTGATCTCTTGACCTTGTGATCCACCTGCCTCGGCCTCCCAAAGTGCTGGGATTACAGGCGAGAGCCACCGTGCCAGGCCCTGCAAACTTTAGATTTTTATTGTAATTCTATTGAATTACATGATCTACAAGATCATGACAAAGACCTCTGTACTGCCAGTATATCCAAATGGCCTCTCTACTGCTAAATAGAAATCAAAGAGAAGGGACTTTTGGAGAAATAGAAGTAATCTATGGCTTGATTTGCACTTTGATATAAATTCCTTGGGTGTATAGAAGTGTTCCTGTATAATTCAGATCACTTCTGGAATTAGCATGAAGTAGTGATCATGATTTGCCACTGAAAAGTGAGGGTGAAAAAGAAACCCTTACCTCCCAGGCCAGTGATCAATGGCCTCGCTCCTCTTTAGCAGGGTTGGGGCTAGGAGTGGCAAGTGAGGCAACTTTTGCACCCCAGGTGCCTCATTCACTTTGTTCTGGTCACTGGGTGAGGGGTGAGGCTGAGCTGAGATGGGATGTGATTGTATGTCTTCTCCACAGGCAAGCAGGTGCTTCACAGGATATCCTGCAGAGCATGAGGCTGGGTTCATTCTGTCTAGCTTCTGGCTCTGGCCTCCTTGGGAATTAAACAAGCTGTGTGTCCTTAGAGACATCCCTTGGACACTCTTCATTCTTTAACATCTAACATTTATATGCCCTGTTCTCTCTACCAGCTAACTTGAGAATCAAATTAGTCAGCACTGGAGTCTAGGTGTCCAGGGCACAGGGTGCATTGAGGAGAAAGCAGCAGTTCATCAAGAAGCTCAAGGTCATAGAAACAAAAAAGATCCTTGTGGGAGCCAGAAAGTAAAACTCCAGCTCAATGTTGTCTTTCATGTAGGAACTTGCTATTTTATCTTTACAGAAATGACACCCGCTGAGAGTTTTTTCGTCTTCTGTAGATTTATGAAACCTATAGGGAGGTTGGGTCTAAGAACAACTGACTTATCTGTTGCCAGTGATAGAAATGGCCGCTGTTTCTAAATGCAGTTGTTGCTCCTGAATTCCAGCCTTCTAGGCTCTTCCCTTCCTTGAAATTACTCAGCATGTCTGAAGCATCCCCTTCTTTTCTCCCCCTTCCAGGACTACTTCCTTCTCTGAAGCTTTCAGATATTTAAACTTCAGTTTTTTCAGACTTTTTTTGATCTGTCTCTATCTGAGATTGACATTGGGTTGTACTTTGCCTTGAGGTACTTAAGGATAGCTCCACCATTCTTATTCTGATTAAAAGTTTTGTATTCAGGAGATCCATTGGTTGAAGGTATTTTGCTATTTCTCCGGGGGGGAGAGCATTGTGATTTTCCTTATAGTTAGATGTCAGTGGGGTAGGCTGGCATTTATCACGATGAAATCAATAGCTGTTTGGTTGCCAGAGCCCAACTCTCTGGTGAGAAATAATTCACTGGAGCTCTGTCACCTTAGCTATGGCAGGCAGGTTACCTCCAACCAGCACACGCTGGTGGAGCAAGTAGAGAATTACACTTCCGTGTACATTATTACTCTTCAATATGCATACGGTCTTCTCAGAACTTGAAAGAATCCCATAGACATTTTGGATGTGTCCTATTAGATATTTGTAAATTATTTAGAATGCTTTCATTTTTCCTGATGTTACTTCTGCATTTATTTTTACGGAGTTAACAAAAAGAGCTCCCAATAAAACTCTTGACAAAAGGAGGAAAAATTTACCACATTTGAGGGAATATATCAAGTGAAGTGTGAAGGCATGACTTTTAATGTATTCATACCTACAAATTACTAAGGTTTTTTTTTTGGTATGATAATGTCCTTTAGCACCTTCATTTTTCTGGCATGAAAAAATTAATTGACCACCTGCCCCCACTAATGTATGAAGAGTGACATGGCCAACGTTTGAATGCTAATTATTTTATGGGCTTTATGTAGTATAGAGAAGGCCCGATAATGTAAAGCACATACTACTATTTCACAATAAATAGACCAGACAATTCCATGATCATCTATTATCTTCACTCATGCTATAACAGAGTCAAATAGCTTCTTTATTACTTATGTTCTGATTTTGGCCACATTCTTGTCTTATTTCAATCTTGTGTTCAGTATTAAACAAGATTGGTCAAGTGTCTGATCAGCACTTATAACTTATTGTTTGCTCTAGGAAATAATTAAATTCCTCTCTAGCCTGTGATTGCAATATTTGAGAGAGAGTCTTGCCCTCTCAGAGGGTTTCAAGTCAGCAGTGGACTAGATTCTAAGTTCCCATTAATACTCTATCTTATGAGTAGCATCGGAAGAAACTTTTTCTCAATGGCACAGAAAACAGCAGGCTTGAGTGTCCTGATTGGTTCCACATGCCAGGCTCTGTGCTAAGCCCTTTACATATATTATTAATCCATTTTATTCTAACACAAGCAGATGGGGTAGGCATTATTGGCATGACCCCTTTAAAGATTAAGAAACTGAGGCTTGGAGAGTATATATTGTTTGTTCAAGACTCCATAGCTGTAACTGGAATACTTGCTGTTAAATCCTGGTTTCTCTGACCCCAAAGTGAACGTTCTCAATTACTATGCTAAGAAAATCAAATTATTTCTTTATGCTAATATCCCAAAGACGGTGCTTAGCCATACTAACCTTCATCTACTTTGGATAATAAGCAGTGCTTTTTTTGTGCCATGTATTCATGTCTCTCCCTTCTCCCGTCTTTTAATTCAGTGTCATTACTCGATGAAGAAGGCAGCCTCTTTTCTTGGGATTGGCACCGAGAATGTTTGCTTTGTGGAAACAGACGGAAGGTAATGGGGACAGGATCCGGAAGCCTGGTGGGTGGACAGAAAAATTCATGCGGTTTATAAAGCAGTATCGTTGTCGGTTAACTACTAAACATAACTGAAAGTCTCAAATCTGTGTCCCTTAGAGGTAAAATGATACCTGAGGAACTGGAGAAGAAAGTCTGTCAAGCCAGAAAAGAGGTGAGAGGGGAGGAGGAGGGAAAGAATGTACTTATGTGTGTGCGCGCCTGGGCGCAGCACGCGAGCACTTATGAGAGAAAGAATAGCGAGGAGAGAATGCAAACAGCCAAAACCATTTTTATGTGTGGGAGAGAGAAGACAACATGTTGGAATTAAAACAGGAAAACTCATTTACAGATGTTCTATTTCCAAGAACTTGGCTCTCATCTTGGAGTTTCCCCGGATGTTTTGTTCCCAGGTGGCTGGAGACAATTAAATCACTCGTATTCAGGGTTCTAGGCTAGAATAAGCTCTAAGGATCAACCCAGCTTCTCCTCCTCTCCTTATAACTCCTCCCTTTGAGAAATCTGCAGGACAAACCGGTTTTCTCTGGGCTGCATTCAGGATGATTCCCGATTTCTTGACCAACCTATTCTTACAGGGTGCTTCCAACCCAAAACCCATCTATTACCATCACCCTCTGTTGGGTCTGTGTCTAGTAGTTCAATGGCAGACTGTCCTCTCTTCCTTAGCTGCTAAAATATATCAAAACTGAAATGTTGGAGAAGGCAAGGCATGGCTCTGGGCACCTGCTGTGCTGCAGCCAAGGTTGGCCCTAATGCTTTTTAAAAAAAGTGTGTCATTATTTGGGTGTCAACCATTTTGCTTTTTGGACTAAAAGCCTCTTAGCTTTAGTACATCTGCTTCACTGCTTCCATCCCATCCCACCACTGCCTGCTGATGGAGCTTCAGGCCATTCTCTGGTAACTTTCCAATAGGTAGCAACAAAGTCAGGTGTTAACCACTGAAAACTGAAAAGCCTGGTTTCTGTGCTGGGATATAAGTGCATCTATCCTCATAGGAGTTTACACTCTAACAAGGATGGGGTTTTTAATGTTTTTAAGTTTGAATATTAGAGTTCTGTTTTACTTTGTTTCAAATTTTCATTAAAAAAATCACCTAGTTCTGGGGAATGCCAGATCACAATGTTTGGCTTAAAATTTCTGCTATTATAAATGTATTGACTTCAGGTGCATCCCCTTCAGTTTGTAATATTCCAATAACAAGTGAACGTGATGTTATCTGGTGGTTTACACTATCAGATTTCTTTGACTTGAGAATAATTGAGTAACAACTTGTAAGTTCATTCTGCTGAGAACCATAGATACTGTTTTCTAGTCTAATTTCTTTCTACACAAACTCAAAAATAATTTGCATTATGTCCTTAATGCTTATTGGTGGGGAATATTAATTGTGTCACGATTGTCTTTTTTCCCTTATTTCTCCTTTCTGTTCTCTATTCCCCACTTTTTCTTAAATTTTAAACTTCTCATTACAAAAAAATTTAAGTGTATCCTAAAAAACCGAAACACACAAAAACCAAGAGACTCATGAGTGTTCATATACCCATTCTATAATCAACAGTCATTAGCTCATGCCCCTATTTCATCTGTACCACATAGCCTCCCCTACCACTACTAGATGGGCTTGAGGCAAACCCCAGATATAGCATTTGATCTATAAATAGTTCAGTATATTTTTGAAGGATATATACTTGCTTTAAAAAAACATAATCCCTTAGTTTTGTTTAAGATGTCATTTTAATATCAAATCTTTATTCAACTTTCCCCCACTACCTTTAAAAAAAAAAAAAGTTGGCCTCTCTGGATTAAGGATTCAAATAAAGTTCACAAATTGCATTTGGTTGATATGTTAGTTGTAAATGTTTTCTGATCTTCTGATCTATAGCTTCCTCTTCGCCGCGCCCCCCACCCTACCATTGATCTGTTGAAAAGATCAAGTCCTTTGTCCTGTCAAGTTTTCCACATTATAGATTCCTGTGGATTACATCATGAATTTGAGACCTTAATTGCTCCCCTTTTCTACACTATCCGGTTTGTTCTTTGTTTTCTGTAATTTGGCGCTTAGATCTTGTGACTCAATGAGATTTATGTTGGAGTTTTTTTTTTTTTTTTTTTTAAGCCAGGGAGTCTTCATGGGTCCTGCCATCAGAAGACATCTCATGTCTCTTTGTAATAGTATTGATTGGTAGAGTCTGGTATTGTCAGTCCATCCATCATAATACCCTCCATCAGCCTCTCACTTCATGGATTTTGCTTCCATTGATGATCATTGTCTAGACCCATTATTTCATTAAGTGATGTTCTAATTCCTTCTCTCCTTCCTTTATTGTCAGGCATTTTATTATAAAGAAAAATATCCCTCCTCCCTATTTTCTTTCCTTAAGGAAACACTACACAGCAAGACAGGATAAACATCTTATTCTTTCCCCGTCTATATTTTTAAAGTAGTTTGCTGCCTAGCATCCCCTAAGGATAATCCCCCAATTTTTTTAGTGACATCAAGAATTCATGTTTCTAGCAAAGGGTTTTATTCCACCACAGTCATTATCATTTTTGTTGCTCAAATTTTTGTTTTGACAGTGAAAGTACATGAAACAGACATAAGACTAAAGTTGAGAACTCAAAAAATAAGTTTTTGAAAAGTAAAAATTGCTTTAGGCACATGTAAAAGTAGGACAATGGGGTTAGAGTTGGTGTGTTGCCTCAGTTTTCTTTCAAGTCAGCCAATGCTCGAGCCTGGATTCACCAAGGACCAACCTTGCATCCCTTCTGTAATAAAAAGACATGATGACGGGTTCATTTTTCTCAGTAGCTTCAGACCTAGTTGTTTTGTTTCAGGCTTTTAACTTATATTGTTTCAGATGTACAGAATACTACATCAACTTTTTTTTTCCTGCTGGGATTCAACTCCCTGGCCTATGAAAAGCCATTGAAAACTGTTACACAGTGACCTTTTCTTGATGTCATTACATAGATGGTGAAAACCACAAAGCATCAGATGTTCTAAAGTGCTTACTGAAACACTCCAATGAGGATGAACACTGAATATTTAGACATTTTTGTTAGAGTTATGAGTTAGAAATGACAAACTTTCTTAAACAATACAGCTCACTGGCAGCATGCAATCAGTAATGTTCCTACTGAATTTTCTCATTAACAGCATGAGCTATGGGGAAGAGAATCTGGAAGGTTAAATCCAGATTGCAAAAGTTTAATTTCTAAGCCTAGTATTTATAGTGAGTTTTTTAAAAAGGTGAAGAAACCTCATTAATAGACTATAATAGCTTGCAAAGGTATTTTCTCATGACTGTCAGGATGTCATATAGTTTATGAGGAAAAGCCCAACCATTAAAGACACCTTAAATGGTTTTAGTAAATTACTTTTTCTATTGCTTTTAATGATTGATGTAAAGCTGATCTTACTTCCTTTAGGTCACTGGTATGATAAAGCCGTATATTTGTCAGTAGTTGAATACAGGGAAGGATTTTCAAAGCCTTTTATTTTTCCAGGACTCTGTCACCTACTGACCTGGCTCTAAAAGTTTTGGGTAGATGGGATTGGTTCTATTTGCCACAGCTGTCTCCAAAGATGGCAAATGAATTTGCTGTATGTTTGAGCTGTATGCATCTCAATTTAGAGAAGTGAACCACATATTCTCGCACTGCCCCACTTTCCACTGAGAAATAACATCTTTCTGTCAAAAGTCAGTTAAGTTGGAATGAGTTTGGTTCAAACACAACAGTCCTGGCATTAAAGGACATAAAAAGACATATTGCAATGAGAATGTACTTTACGATAAAACTAAGGGGAAAAAATGGCTTCTTGCTAAATGGAGAAAAAACAACTTTTAGAGACCATAAACATTCTGTCACTTATTTCTCAGATGCTCTACAATCTTAGTATTCTAGTTGCTCCCCTCACCCCCACATTTGTCTACAAGTTTTCCTCAGGGCACCTACACAGCGAGCAACAAATGTCTGCCACCATTTGGGGAGCAACCCATTTGGAAACACCTCATATACTCTTCTTCTATCTGGTTGGCATAGAGTTCTTTGTTCCCACTAAAGGGTGTGGCTAGCTTGACCGAGATAACCATTCATGTGTGTGTGCACCCACATTCTCCCTTTTATTTCCTCTTTCCCACCAGCACCTGTTCACTCCACAGGATGCAGTCATCAGCTGTGAGGAGGAATAACTATGGTAGGAGTGACAGATTTTTTCCAGCACATGCCAATGGATTCCTCTGTTGCAGCACTGATTTTGGAGAATGTATCCCAGTGAGGTGGCCTTTTCTCCTCTGATGAATTTGCGCCTGAGTACATCCTACATTCTTTGTTTTATCACTGCACTTACTTTACAAGGAGACAAGCAAACAGGCATGCATGGTTTCACTCCTGGAGCTCAGTGTCTTCCAATGGTTTTTTTTTTTGAGATGACAATGATGGCACAATAGAGGCTCAATGTATTTTTTCAGGAAGCAATTAGGAGTCATACAAAATATCACTTAGCTTTTGCATTTTCTAAGTTCCCTTAATGTGTTTATAATGCCAAGAGGTCACATATTGACAACATTTAAAAACACTCATTGAATTAACGACTAACTCCAAAGAAACACAGTAACTCTTTGATTGTGTAACTCTTTTCCCAGCTACTACAGGACAAACCTAAGTGGTGATGGTGACAATTCTTTGTGTGTGGATCCTTCTTACAGGGGGCAGCACCGTTTCTTGTCTGTGCCACTTCTGGTACAACTGTGTTGGGAGCTTTTGACCCTCTGGATGAAATAGCAGATATCTGTGAGAGGCACAGCCTCTGGCTTCATGTGGATGTAAGTTCATTTATGTGTACATACCTGTTTAACCTTTAGTCTGTCTGTAGCCTTGGTATGAAATTTTTTATATTCTCAAACTAGATGTGGGGTCCCCAACACTTATTTGTATGTATTTCAAACTGGGGGAAATAAGTATTCCATTTTCTGTAAAATATAAAGGAGAAGATTCCAAGACTTCATGTAAAGTTTTAGTTTACTGGATTCTATTTCACTTTCTCCACTCCTGTGAACCATCTTTGGTCCTCGTATCTGTCATAGAAGCAGGCTGGTGTAAGGGACACATTTTGGATTAAGGAGCCCAGAGACTTTGGTTTGAGATTCTCATCTGCCTCTTCGTTGTGATCTCAGCCCTTTGGAGTTCAATTTCTTCATTTGTAAAGGGTGGCGGGGGTGGGGGTGTGGGGGGCTGTGGGCTGTGAAGTATATTCTAGCTCTAAAATTATGATTTCAAACAGCTGGAAAATGCAAAAAGCTACGTTACATAATTGGATGCTATAAGGAATGCAAGTTCTCTCTGAATCTATCATAATTATTTCAGGGGGGGTTGGGATAATATACTCATTTTCTAACAAAGGATTGGCTTTTGTCTTAACTCTTGTAAGTCCTGCGGTTATTCAAAATACATCTATCCTTAAATCAAAGGTAACTTTAAAAATTCTACTTATCCAGGGTTAGAATACTGAATTCAACCAACTATGAACTTTTGTTGAGCTTAATTTTCTTTAAAATTAAAAATTTTGTGAAACTAGGAGTTAGTTTGATTCTAACCAAAGAAGAGACAGTTGCACATGGTGTTTTGGGAGTTTTCCTCTGGTAAGTGACAGTTTCAGATCCTCCTTAGCAGAAGAAATATTTTTTGACTTGAACGAAAGGAAACAATATTTTGAGGATATACCCACACGTAATTTTGTAGTTTAGATGATTTTATGCTTTCTAAGTATATTTCAGTCAAATCATATCACATAGTACCGTGTGATGAGATTCAAAGTTTACATTGATTGTATACTAACTTTTGGTAAAAGCAACAGTAGTATAAAGCTCACTGGAGTGCTTGCCTCTATTAATATGCCAATGGCAATCCTTAAGATTATTTGTGACTTCTTAATGTGATTTTAGCATTTGTATCTGTTCATATTTCAACTTATTGATTTTTATAGACTTAGAAGCATAACAATACACTATATTCTTAAAGATAATATGAAATGAGCATCTTTGTAACTGGAAATAAGGGGAAAATCAAACACATCAGCAAATATTTTACTCTCATCAAAAACATGGATTATAGAGTTTATGTAGTTTGTATAAAATATAGTAAATAGTTTATGTAAAACCGTAACTACAGCAGCTTCTAAATTGGGAATGACATTAAGAGATTTATGGGGCTTAGAGAAAGTTGTGATTTCTAAGTATGAATGAAAAGATCATTCGGTTTTCTAAAAATTCAAGGTTGAGTCTTTGAAGAAAACATCTTTATAAGGGAATATGTAACCACAGCAAATTATCCTGTTTGTGTATAGCATGCCTCTGGCAAATGCCTGTAGTATCAAATTTGACACCAGCCCACCTGGCTTATCAAAGACAGCATTTCCCCATCCTTTGTTATCGTGGGTGTCAAATCAAAATGTTATTCCAGGAACATGTTGCTTATCTTGAAGAAACTTCCTATATTATAGGTACTTCAATTTTAAAAAGAAAATATTAAATTGCAATAATCGCTTTGACCTGTTGGAAGTCTTCTAAAGGGTATTTTAAAGCTTTAAAATATTAAAAGCTATTTACTTTATCTCTTTTTAAAAATGAAATGACATTTACTTGTTCTTCTGGGTTTTCAATAAAACCATGCTGCCCTGCATTCATACCATATTTTATCAATTCTAAGATGCACTTATTTAAGAAAAATTTTAACATTTCTCAAACTCATTTTGATGTCAAGTTTTTGTTAGTATACAAAAAAAATGGGGATGCTTACATTCGATAGTGTCTTCAATTTGGTTAATTATAGTGCATTTTTAATCTAAGTAAGAAAAACTAATTTTATTACTCTTTCACCTCCAGTACTGTTTTTCCTTTGTGAGGACAATTGTTATGCTAGTTTCTGAGAGCAGAGTGTCGGACTGGTCTAGCTCTTTAAATCAGGTTGTAGCTGCTGGAAAGCCTCTCATTCCCAACAAACCTTCCTCTTCTCTCACCCATTCTTCATTCCAAGTCCCATAGAAAGCAGCAAACATATTTAAAATCCTGGGCTTTAGAGGCTGCCAAATCTCATTTCCATTCCTGCCTTCACCTCCCTTTAGGATTGGTCCTACTACTAATTTATTAACCAATTAAAGACAAAAATATGTAAAATGGTATACTGTGGTGCCTCACATATAGTAATAGCTTAATAAATGACAATCTTGATTGAGACAGAAAGCCAAGCTCCATCATTTAGGTGACTGGTTTGATAATTTCACAAGTTCTGGAGTGGGAATTATAGTGAAGCAAATTGAAGTAGGGCATTTATATTGGTTTTTTTTTTTGGAGGAATAAATTTATGGATGAGCTGTTCCTAACCCTGCCAAAGTACTTCGTAAAGTGGTGAACTAATGCCTTGAAAGAGTCCCTGTGATTTCAAAACTTAAATCCAGTCCACTAGAATTGGGAGATTATTATTTACCTTTCTGGAGAAGGACTGTAGGCAGAGGCTTGCTCAGGGGACATGAAGGAGTAGAAGTATAGGATATTGGGCAGATGAAAAGGGTGAGCAAGTAAACTGATGGGGTCTGTGGACTAATCCTTCCTGTAGTTGTCACTGATACGTTCTCAGAGAGGTTGGGGGATAAAAATGAGAAAAGTAGGTAATTTCGGATTTAGGGTATGTAATAAAAGCCAAGAAAAATGTGGTCTGTAACTCCTCTTAATATTTGCAAGGACCAAGTTCTCAAAACCCAGATTTGGAGATCCTCAGCTGTAGGCTGGGATAAGATTTTCCTAGATGCTGAAGACATTTGCCTTTGCAGCTCAGCCTCAGTGGCACGTGGTCCATCATGAATCCGACTAAGGGAGGAAATGCAGTAGGAAGGGAACCGGACTGACAACACCCAGTTACTCACCCTTTACCTGGGAATCTTTGGGATTTGAACACATGACACCATTGAAACACATCACAGCTCAACCTCTGGGGATCCCATGGAGTTGTTGGAGACTAATCCATGGGATCAAGACTGGTGCTAATATGAGGCCAGTGGGGTTCACAAGGCTCAAACTTCTAAGCAGCATTCTTATAGCCTTGCAAGACTCCGGCTCTGAGACCGAGTTCCTCCTTGAATTATGTACCCTACTGACTCATTCACTTTACCCTAGACTCAGCTGTCAATGAAAGTTTTTTTAAGTACGATTTAAGGCCACAAGTTACTTGTACTATACTTTCTAATTATTAGCTAATGGGACCAGCTTTTATAATACTCTGGGGATCACGGAGCTACTTCATTTCATCTTCCATATCTATGGTGCACACACTCTTGCCACATCTTTCTACATGATATTAAGGTCTACCTATGCCTTTAAATTCCATAGCCAAAAAGAATTTGCTACATCCTAAGTGACTCCTAAACTCACCTGTTGCCTAAACGCGTCTCTGCCATCCTCATTCTACATGCTATACTCTTCAGTTTGGCCAGATTATCACCTTAAATCATGATGTTATCACGACAAGAGAATGGGCTTTGAATCCCATATTTGATTTTGTCATCAGTGAGACCTTGGACAATTTACCTGAACACCTCTGAAATTTACTTATAAAAAGTGGAAGTGATCATAACTGCATTCCTAACGGAATGCTTTAAGATTTAAAAATAAGCTTGGGAAGTATTCAGTACAGCTCAAGCTAGTCCCCTCAAATCCTCTCACTACAGTGATCCTACAAATTAAAATTTATGTCTGCTCCATTTTCAAGAAGCGTGCTGACTTTTGTTTCTTACATCAGTTCTTCTCCCTTTGCTCCAGACCTGTTGACTATGGGATTTCATCCTAGCTCCCCTCTCCTTTGCTCACAAAATTTACTTCCAGTGAATAACCTATGTCCCAAGCTTGCCCTCTCATTTGTCTCAGTTTCATTTGCAGATATTTCTAAAAGCCATTTGGCTAAATTGATCTAATTTTTCATTAACATATTTACACCTAGCCCATCCTAATTGGTCTTCTATCTATCCACCTTGTCAATAACATGCCTTGTTCGTTATTATGTAGAATGCTAGCGCTTAGCCCATGTCTCATCATACGCTGTGATGGCAAAATGTTAGCGTTGTGAAGCTGCTGTTTATGTTAGAGTCTAAGCTTCAAGAGGGCATGGACTTTGAAACTCCTCATCCACACATAGCTCAGTTGGTTAATATACCAATTTATGATGTGCAAATTTATAATTCTACGGGTCAGTGGGGGCCCATCTATTGTGATGAAGTTGTGATTGCCCGAGTAGAGTCAGTGATCAAAATTTCCTAGGGTACAAATTTGTTAACATGACATAAAATATGAAATAATGCAGATCGAGGTTATCACTGAAGGTTTTCTACAACAACCCAATGGTAAACACTGAAATAACGTTGCTTTGATTCTGTAAATATCTCCACAGGCTTCTTGGGGTGGCTCAGCTTTGATGTCGAGGAAGCACCGCAAGCTTCTGCATGGCATCCACAGGTAAATGTAGTTTCCCATTGTACAGCCAACTTTCATCAGGCTAAGGGATCTCTTTGGACTAAGTAATATTTTGAAAATAGGAAAAAATAAAGTAATTGTTTTGCTTAAATAAACCAGTAAAACCCCTTCAAATTCCTTAAACCACTCAGATAAGGAATTCTGTAAAGCAGTAAACTGAGTACTGAATGTAGATGCCGATGATAGTATTCTAGTCCTTGTAGAAACTAACTGAATCCTCTCCCTATTCTGTCCCTTTGTTTAAACAATAGGGCTGATTCTGTGGCCTGGAACCCACACAAGATGTTGATGGCTGGGATCCAGTGCTGTGCTCTCCTTGTGAAAGACAATTCTGTAAGTTTCCCTCTTGTGGTCTTTGGGCATCCGGGGGTTAAGTCACTGCCTTTGCCAAGGGCTTCATATTTGCTTATCTCTGGGTGACTTGGGCTAGGTGTAAATTGAAAGTCTTTGGGAAATGTTGATGGTCTCTGAAGGAAAGATAAATTAGCTTAGATAAAAGATTTAGTGTTTCTGCTCAGGTAATTTTGTGGATTTGATTTAGGTATGATATAATCTCATTAGTTACAGCAAAATGGTCTCTCTCACCCTCATTTGGATATTTTAAAACTGAGTTTTAAACATTGCCAAATTTTTTTTCTCCTTGATTAAGTCTGGGATTTAAGTTATCTGGAAACTTCTGCTCACTGAGAAAGTGGAACAGATGTGTGTCATACATTAAATTGAATACTTAATATGCTTAGCAAGGGCTTAACAGCCCGTTTATATGGGAAGACATTTGTTCAGGGCTGATCATCGAACACTGATTTATTAGGGGATTGCTGGTCCCAAGTGGCTGGTACTTAAGCCTCTTTAGGAATGCTTGGGAGAGTTGGAAAGTTGTCTGGATTACTGTGAGGCAAGTTGGAAAAAAGTTGAGGCTCCTCTTGGCCGGAGGTATAAACTGTTTTCCATGGGTTAAATAAGGATCCCTTTGGGAAGCGGCCCGGGCTGGGAAGTGCTACTTCATTCTTAGAAATGCCTCTTCAAGATCTGTGTTCAGCATGTGGGTGATCTTTCTCAGCCATCTGTTTACATTTTTTTTCGTAGGGAACTCCCTTTGCCAATGCTAAAGTCATTTTCTGTTTTTAAGGAATTTTATTTCAAATGAAAACTATTTTTAATCTCGAAAGCTAGTCTTGCATGTGTAGCTATTTACAACTTTTTAAATTGTGATATATGTGAGGGCCTTGCGTGTTTTGACATGATCAAACAGAATGTCCATCAAACTAGAAACAGATTTTGCTTCTATAGAAATAGACATTACCAGGAATATGAATCAGTTCCTCAATGTTTCATTAGGTTGGATATAGTTGAATGCATTCCATACCATTTAACTTCTTTAAGTTTTAAAATTATGGTGTGACTGTATTTGTAACTGAAAGGTAGTTTAAGATTACTGTATTGATAGTGAACCAAAGAACCTAATCAACATGCCCATAGGTACATATTTAGGATGGAACAGAGATAGGAATAAACCCAAGTTCTCTTTTGGTCTAGGTATAAGAACTAAAATGTATCAAGCTTCCTTTATGAGTATTTTACATTTGTTTTCTACCTAAGTCAGCCAATCTGAATGACAAACTTATCTGTTGGTGTGATACCGAGTGAAAAACTTAGACCAACAATTTCATGACTACTTTCAAATAACTTTCTAGCTTTTTACATTTTTCTTATTAAATGACATTTGAGCGATTTAGCCAACAATTGAATTACATTTATGTACTTGAGGTAATTTAAATTTTTCTGGATCATACAACTCCTGAACAGGGTTTTATTTATTTTTTAAAGAACTCATTCCTGGATCTTAGTGACAGTAATACCCAGGCCTATTTTCATGGCATGAATTAAGAGGTTAGGAGGATTCTATTCACTGCGCAAAGAACTGAGGACTTTCAAAAAATTGCCTTAAAAAAAAAAATGAAAAGACTGTTTTCAATTTAAATGGAATAGAAAACTGAACCATGAGATATGAGATATGGCAATCAGTTTAAGTTTTGTGTTGGCAGTTTTCTAGCTCTTTTGTACTTGGATTTCTGCCTGTTATTCTCTTGCCTATCGTTAATTCATTCCATCACTCAGCATAACTGATCTACGTAAGCCAGACACTGCTGCTTCTAGGCTTATAGCATCAAATCAAGACAGACATATTCCTCAGAGTCAAACAGTTTATAATCTCACAGGGAAGACAATGAACAAAATGCACATATTAAATTTTTTAACTGCCATTTTGATAAGTGCACCAGTGAATATCAGACTATTGATTGTAAAAATCACCAGGCATTCCAACCTTCTCTTCTTGTCCATCTCCTAATATTCAGCTATGTAGCCTCCCCTGCAATTATCGTATGACAGATATGACCCATGTGATATAAGGAAATGGGGTGAGGGCCTGGAGAAGAATTTTACAGAAGAGAGCATTCTTCTCGCGCTTTTCTACCTTAAATGCAATTGTGTCAGACATGGTATATGGGTTACCATAAGGCAATTACCCTAAATTTAAAAAATTAACATGCACAGAATGACAGAAAAGGGAGAGTCTTGGTTTTGGATAATTTTGAAATATTGCACCAACCCAAAACGTGACTCCTTTCAGACCTTCTATATCAAGTGGTTAAAATTAAATGTTCTTACTGCGGAAAACATCTCCGTTGGGTAATCTGTTAGTTGCAGCCAAATGCACACGTCTGATACAGAAAAGAGTATGGTACTTCGGTAATACATAGCAGGAAGACCTATGATGTTCCAGGTGGAAGGAACAGCATGTAAAAATTACATGAAGATCACAGGAGGAGGAGAGTTGAGAGTGAAGTATCTTTTAGTGTTGCTCGTACTAAATTTGAGGTTCTTATGAGATATTCGAGTGAGATTAGATAGGAGGTTGACATATAGATCCAAATCTAAGAAAAGAAGTTTGGACTGGTAAAGTCTATTACAGAAATTGTTGACACTGAGATGATATCTGAGGTCATAGGAATGGGTTAGACCTTGGAAGGATCTTTGGAAGGAGAAGAAAAGGCTAGAACTTACCTTTAGCATTTAGAGACTGGATAGAAGAGGGATACCCCATGAAGGCTGAGTCAGAATGGCCAGGGAGATGGTGGGAAGACCAGAAAGAGTGATGCTAACCAAACAGAAGAACATGTAGGAGAGAAAAAGTAATCTCTTTTCCTTACCCATTGCAAGGTTCATGGCTGACTTCCCTATAACAAAAGTCATTGACAAAAGAAAAGCCTAACAAACTTGTTTAACCAAAATTTTATGTGAAACAAGGACCTTCAGAGATGAAGATCCAAAGGCCCAGGGAAAACGATTTTTCTGGACAATCCTGCAAAAGTATGGTCATAAGCTGGCAGGGGGGACCTTGGAGGGCCTGTTTGTCCAGTCTTAGCCTGCCCAGCATAGGCAGGACCCCTCTGGAGTGAGGGTCTTAACAGCCTCCTTTTAGGAGCGGTAGGTCAAGTAATTTATGGCCATGTTTCATGGAAGAAAGGTGAGGAGGTCAGAGTGACCTCCAAGGTGCCATATTTTGGGTAACTGGTATGAGCCACACAAAATGTGAGGCAAGTGAATGATTTTCATCCTTCATGTGACAGCTTATTGTCACCTCTTGTTTGGAGTCCCCAGACTTACCAAGATAAATGGGCACCTCCTCAATATTGCTTATCAGACTCTGTTCCTCTCAAGTGCTTATAGTTACTATTGCCATGATTTGCATAAGTCTGTATAACTACCATTTGTAATTATGATTTCTCATGTAATATTCTCTCCCACTAGAATGTAAGCTGCATGAGGAGAAAGACTATTTCATCATATTCAGCAGTGGGTCATTAGTGCCTAGCATGTATTCTCTGAAAAGGGGAAAAATCCCTAGGATTTAAAAACTGGTTGATTAAATACATTAATCATCCTCAGAAATATCTGCCTTCAGCAGTAACTAGGAATTTGAATTTTTCCCCCACTCCAAATTATTCCGTTTGAAAACTCTACGATACAATGATTAAAATTATAGTTGATGAGCTCTATTGCTGAGGTCCTAACAGCTCGTGTTAGGGCGATCGCCGATGAATAGTGATTTTAATTGGTACTTCTGTTGACGTAAGAGGATAACTCTAGGTTAGAAGAAAGTAAATTACCAAGTAAATATACTGCTATTCAGGGAAAAACTAATTCTCTAATTTGTACATACAAAGTGCTGACATTCACAGTGCTGTTTTCCTGATTGGCTGGTAGTTTTTGCATTTTTGACTTCCTGTGTTAGCAAATAGGGCTGCTTCAGAGACAAAGCATAGATGTTGTACTATCACTAACCCTCTTTGAATCACAGGAATAAAAAGAAAATTAGGGATTTTTAAAATATCTGATTATAAATAGGTTGACTTCAGATGTAAATGCAGGATTTGCATGGCTGTTTTAGATCAAAGACAGTTTTGATGCTTTGATCTAAAATAAAAGGCAATATATTCTAAGAATCAGGTAAATGGAGAAAAACCTCAATATCAGCTTTTTGATTTTTAGAGTTTACGAGACAGATTTTTTATAGTTTATAAAACCCAACAGGTATGAAAACATACTAAATAACATGGCTTTTTAAGTATAAATGATTTCTATTTCTACCTACCGCTATCATTCAATTTTAACTCACAATGCCTTTCTGTTGACTCAGTCTAGCTGCTACAGAAAACAAGTGAATTTTTTCCATGTTTTTTTCCAGAAGACTATGTTGACAGTATGGATTTTTTAAAATTGTCCATTTTTAGTATTTTATTTCAGAAATAATTTGTTTTTATCATAAATGAATCTGGAAATTCAGATCAAAAGAAAGTTGAAGTAAAAAACAATACTAGTACCTGAAGATGCCCTTTATGGAGTTCCCAATGTAGACATACATTTAAATGTGCATGTATGCATCATGCATCATCTATAAAATCTTTAGCATGCATTTTCTATGTAACAAAATTATGAAAGTTGTTTCATGTTAATATGGATGCTACTACAATTTTACTAACTACATAAAATCCTATCATTGATATAATTAGCTTGGCCACCTCTTACTGCTGACCAGATGTTTTTAATTTTTGCCTGTTACCAATTTTGTTGCCATCTTTGAGGCTAAATCGTTTAGCACATCCTTTAGTCTTCCTTTAGCATAAATCCCTAGAAGTGAAAGAATAGCTACCTTTCATAATGCTTTAATACAAGTTTCCCAATCTTCAAAAACATTTACATTATCCTGAGCAGAATGAGTATGTATGTGCATGTGTGCGTCCATGTGTGTGTGTGTTCTAACCTTTGAC